ACCTAGACACAGGAGAACTATTGTCGTGAAAGTGTTGTACAGTCGATTACAAATTTAGATTGCAGAGAGTTTGTTCTGAGCGCTAAAGGCACTCACGATAGAGCACATTTTGCTTTATTCTAACAATATTTGGAGAAATGAGAAAATGAGAATACATATGAGCGATAGAGAAAAAGATGTCGACTGATACAACTAAACATGAGGATTGATACGACTAAAAATATCGCGTGGCAAGTCAGAAAACGGATCATATTTCTATGGAAATCATCCTATTGATGATGTAAGAAAGCATGACTCAAGGAAGATCCAAAGTTGGATACTAATCAAAGTACCGACTACAGTGGAAGGTGAATGGATAAACATATTGAACTTGCAGCATACCAGGCTGACAAAGAGAGAATTCTGAGAATTTCCACTGAGCTGGAGAAGAAAGAGTCAAAGTCAAAAGTTGACAGATTGTTCTCACTTTTTAAAATATAACACAAGCAACAAGTGAATTGGTTGATAAAGTAGGATCTCTGATAGATCTATATACTTCTATATACTGTAAATTCATATACTTAGAAGGCAACAATACCTGGACAGCTAAATCGCAGTCAATAGAACAGGTAGATTGCAGGCGGCAGTGGATCGCTTACTTCTAACAAATAGCCTTGATCATCTGCTGGAGGATACAATTCATCTGGAGGATAGGAGTCTTCAGGAGGAGGATGCATTTCTTGTTGTTCACAAGGTTGGACAAATTGGCCTTGTACAAAATATTGATCATGCTGCTCTTTGGCAGAAGGCATTCTGCCTTGGCCCTCTTCGGGGACAGTTCCAACCGGAACAAAGCATTCCGCTTCCTGATCATTGTAATAAGTTCCACCAGGAACTAAGCCTTCGACTTGACTTCCTTCTTGATTGTAATGTAATTCAGCATTATGATGGTTTTGAGGGTTTCTGTTTTGAAAATTTCCTGGAGGTCTGTTGCTTGATGATTTTGTTGCCCAAATCGTCCTCCTTGGGCTTGAGAACTGTTTCCAGTAGATTGTCCTTGATAGTTGCCTTGAGATCTTGGAGGATAGCTTGGATAGGGTAGATTGGAAGTGGTTTGACGACTACCGTAACTTCTGCGTCCATGTCCACGTCCTTGATGAGAATGCTGGGTGTAACCAGTGTGAGATAGTGTAGAATTGGTACTTCCAGACTTGTTACGAGCATGCTGTTTTGAGATGTGGATATTGTCTGATCAAATCTTATTAGCTTGCATGTAAGTTTTGACCATTTGCAAGGTGACGTTGGGGTCTTCGATGGTTCCTTTTTGTTGATGGAAAGTATTTTGCCAATTTGGAGGAAACTCATCATTTTCACATAGCTTCTGAGATGTTCCGGGAAGCATGTCATGATAGAAGCAAAGAAGTTCAAGTTGCCTGATGTGTCTGGACACATCAGTTTTCATAGACTTCCTGCAGGCAATTGACTTCAGAAAACGGCTTGCGCTGTTCCTTGGATTTGCGCCAGCTGACATCTTCGTGATAAATCTGTCAACAGAATTCTTGAATTGCACGATAGTGCGATTGGTCACGTTCGTTTCAATCACATTCAATTTGTTCAAGGCTTGACCGCTAAGATGTAGACAAAAGAGCCGGAACTTGAGGTTGGCAATTCCAGCTCCGTTGCCAGTGATTTCCCATTGAGCGCAAAGATTCTTGAATGAGATGTACATCCTGCAAAAAGGTTCCAAATTGCTGCCTTTTCCAAGGTAAAGTGGAACCTTGGCTTCGCGTTCTCCACCATCTGCGCCAGGAAGATGGAATATAATCTCAGTGAGAATGTTCTTATCCTTTTCAACGTACATGGTGAGTCCGTTGCAAGAGAAGGCATAGTGCTGTATTTTCACTTCAAACGCTTCAATCAAGATGCAACAAAGTCAAATATGTAGCAAATGTAATAGCAATAGTTTGCTGCCACTCTGCAGAGTGTATCTCTTCAGTAAAAGCCTTTGGCTATTTGAATAGTAAACCAACCTTCACAGAAGAGTCACAGAAGGGTCACAGAGAAAATTGTGGATGTCTATCGTTTAGTCATGGCTAAAGCAAAATCCGGGGTATGACGCCCTAAAATAAACTTTACCGATTCATAACATTCCAGGTTATAGATTCTACCCAAATACACTCATAAACAATATCTTCGTCTTGCTTCAACAAATCCAAAGCCGGTCTAAACGTGTGCATACGGGCATTGGATCAAAAGTTACAATATGATTTCTACGTAGACCGGTCGTAGGGCATGATGCCCTGCCCAAAACGCGCGTCTTGCCCCGGATTTTGACACATAAAAACAGCTCATCATATCAACACTACCGACCACCATGGAACAACATTCATAAGTGTATTGACGCAATACAACACCCCCAACACCTCCATCACCTCAGGAGGACCCTAAGCAACTATCATTATGCAAACTATCCAGAAATTTGCCCTCAATCATGTCACAATCAACCTGTTTCGTTGATACATTTTCTGTCGAGTCGCTCTTTGCAGCCCACAGAGGGCCCCACATGAGGATATCACAGGATTGCAAGTCATGATAGGCGCTACATTTATCTAAATTATGCTGGTGCTTTGTTGGGGCATCTCTACTTGGTCTGGTTCCAAAGATTTTGGGATTTTCATCTCAGGTGCTGTCTGTGCTGTTGGTTCGTGAAACGGTTTGTCAAGTCCCCATGGCAGTCAGATCAGGGTAAAATCCTATTACTACACACCAATCAATCTTTTGGGTCTCTACAGTTCTAGCAGTATGGGAATCATTGGTAGATTTGACCTGAATCAAGCCTACATTGGACTAAAAGGGTTCAGAATTCATTTAAGGAAATGTGAAAATTCTGAAGTCGTCAAAGTGTTGGCCTAATTTCTCCAAAATGCTTTATTCTAACACATACTGTCTTCCAGGTGTATATATGATAAGCCTTGGGGGGCTTGGAATGGCGATTTACAAGGTAAAAATGATTGAACTGAACCTACTTGAAATTGGTGATGAAGTTCGTTTTTCATTCCAGAAGAGGCCAAGAATCCTCTCCAGTCGCCGTGTCGGTACCCAGACCAGTAGGACCCCGACAAAAGTTATCAATACACATACATGTATCAATTTTGGCTGTAGTTTTGGATTGCCGTGGCAGAAATGAGGTCCTCAGCTCTGCTTTCCTGTTGATCTCTCTCCATACTTCAGGTGACTTGGTTGACTGTTTCAAATTTCCATGTAGTCTAGCTCAGAATCCGCAATTCAAAGTGCATACTCCTCTAGTCTATATACATATAACTGATAGTATACGTTCAAATTACTCTGCTTTCCTGTTGATCTCTCTCCATACTTCAGGTGACTTGGTTGACTGTTTCAAATTTCCATGTAGTCTAGCCCAGAATTCGCAATTCAAAGTGCATACTCCTCTAGTCTATATACATATAACTAATAGTATACGTTCAAATTACATGATTTTAATCACAACAAGGTCGTTCGTAGAGTTTTGGAGCCTTTGCCTATGGTTTCAAAGGGTACCAATCAATTTTTGGTCAATGGTTGGTAGATGTCATTGGTATGGAGAGATAGCATACGCCCTGGTGCACTATATTTAACGAAGTACCATTGTATAACTTCCCAGAAGGGGCGTCTACACGGACAAGCCTTGCTCTGCTGACTTCCATGATCCAGAACAGTTTCGATTTTCATTCAAAGATTCCAAGACGTTGAATTCAAGGTTTGCTTGAAATGACCTCTATTAACAGAAGCGGTCAATACAGCAAATGGAAAGCACATAGATGAGATTATTTTGAGAGATTTAGAAACTATATTATTGCCTGCATTACATGTTTTAACATCCGTATAGCTTTATTGTGATGATGTCAAGAATCCGGGGCGTTACGCCCGGATTTGGTGAGTTTTGGAAATCTGGGGCGAGATGCCCGGAGCGGCCTGTAACTGGACCTAGACGCGCCGAGTCAGCTTTTCGGGGGTGTCGTTCCGACAAAATGAGGGGAGTAGTATAGTCTTCAATTGTTTACCCGAGTTAGGCTGACTGGCGCGTCTTTCTTTTCAAAACTACTCGGCGTGCGTGCCTTTTTGGTCTGCTTCCGAACCGTTGAACCTTCGTCCAAATGGACGAAAATAGTCGAACCTTCGTCGAGTCCGACTATTCTCGTCGGAGTCCGACTATTCTCGTCGGAGTCCGACTATTCTCGTCGAAGTCCGACTATTCTTCGTCGAAATGGACGAAATGGATGAAATGGACGAAACTGATTTCAGAGCTCGCAAGAATCTTGCGTGACGAAAAATTCAAATTTGAATTATGGGGCTGGTAGTGGCAAGCTAGGATGACATGCAAAAACGGCAAAAAACGGTACACTAGAAAACAAGAAACAGTAACTAAATAAAATAGCAGGTTCTATCTCTCCACAGCAATATGCCGAAGTTGCCAGAGATGTTTACAGACATGTTGCATACTTTCAGAAATTCAAACGTCAACAACGAATTATACTAACTTAGATGAGTGATAGATTTAGGATTCATTCGATCAAGAGGTTTTAAAAATAATCTGCCCTATTCCTATTGCGACCATGTTTCGTCGGGTCCGACGAAGTTTCGTCAGGTTCGACAAAGTTTCGTTGGTCCGACGAAGTGTCCGACGAAGTTCATCCATTTCAACGGAACGACCACGAATGAAATGAATCTTTAGGCAGGCTCGTATTCAGCGAAGCCCAAGCTCTGCATTGCGCAGAATCTGTCACCGGCACGTCAGTTTCCGTCATCCTTGCCAGGGAATCTATCATATCTGAGGACATTCCCAGCAAGTCTGCCATTTCAGGCCGCTCCCGGAATTTGATGTGTCAAAATCCAGGGCAGGACGCCCTGGTCAAAAACAGCCGCGTGTAAACGATATAGAGGCACTTGAAAGTGCTTACGTGGACCTTTTGACTAAGGTCTAGTTCTGTACCCAACCGAAGGAGCTTCTACAGTCCCAATACCTTGGGCCTGTTCTATGGGACGGTTTCAAGATACAGTACTGTACTGTATGGGGATTGACTCATATGACTAACATTTCCGGCCCTTCCTACGTGCTGTTGGGTTACAGTACATGTGTACCGGTATGGCGGGTGATACCAAGAGTACAAGCGGATTCAAAAGGACTGAGGTAGTCCTTTCGCGGTACAAAATGAATTGAATCTCAAGCAGCATACCTTATCTACCTACGAGTACATAAACAAAAGCATTTTCTTGAAGCTCAATTGAGAGAATGGCAAACGGATATACCCGCTGCCCATTTACCTATGGATTGTTTCTTGGAACCACTGCATTATTTCTCTATTTAGGTCGTCGTCAAAAAACAAAGAAGACTGATCTTCCAACTTGCGATGTGGTTTTCGTCTTGGGAGGTCCTGGGGCAGGAAAGGTAAAATAGTTCATTTCAGAATGAATGCCAAAAATCGATCTATGCGTAGCTCTAACCCTCTTGTGTACCTAGGGAACTCAATGTCAGTTGGTGCAGGAACGTCTTGATGGCTGGGTTCATCTGAGTGCTGGAGACTTGCTTCGTGCAGAGAGAAACTATGGTGGAAAGCTATGCGACTTGATCAATTCCAAAATTGCTGCAGGAGAGCTCGTCCCTTCAGAGATTACCTGTAAATGTCTAGAAAACGGCATGGCCAGAGCTTTCGAGCAATCAGGAGTCACAAAGTTTTTGGTAAGAAATGAAACTTTTCGTTTGCTTTGGATTTTGATGCTGATTCTTGAGGCTTGATCATTTTCTTGAACACTTCTCCCACTGCTGCGATCATTTTTGCTATGAACTTTTTGTCCACCTTTGCGAAATTCATTGAACGGAATATTGTCATTGGGAACAGGTTGATGGTTTCCCCCGCAGCCATGGGAACATGACTGCATGGGCAGGTACTTTGGCGAAGCATAACATAAAATTTGTACTAAGTTTTGACTGCCCTGAATCTGTATTGGAAGGCAGACTTTTAGAACGTGGCAAGAGCTCCGGAAGGTCTGATGACAACATTGATACAATCCGAAAGCGATTCCAGACACATAAGGCCGAGTCTTTGCCAATCATTCAATACTTTGAAAACAACGGAACTACCGTTCACACGATCGAAAGCGACAAGGGAGTTGAACAAGTCTATGAAAAGGTTGTGGCTCTATTTTAGCACAAACTATTATCGTCATTCGAATCGTAGCAATTGGCATATCGGTCATCAATTGACTTCCTGTTTGTCTTGTTTCAATGATTTCAGGAGCATAGCACGAGCAGACAAATCACGAATTTTGCGTGCATACCTGCATACTTGTTCAGGAATGGCTCCCTCTTTGACGGACAAACAGCACAGAACGCCCATCGGGCTGCCATATTGCTTGTGAATTTGAATCCCAGCATGGCACTTCCCACAGTCATCGAAGACGCATTTGTTTCCGAATCCGAGTTCAGAATGCTCACCTCTTGCTCGGCCGCACCTCGAGCAAATCTTCCGAAAACTCAACGCCTTTGGCAGTCCAATTGACTTGATAACATTCTTGTAGGTAGGTGAGGGCCTCGGAGGACGATGATGGTACTGAAACAGAGCTGGCGATGTTTGTATCGGAAAATATGAATGGCGGGAAGGACCATGTTCCCCTCCATTACTCATATTGTAGCGACGAGACTGCGGTATAAAGGCGCAAACAGACGACGGACTCCTCAACTTCATGTGATTGATTCCAAGTGATGCTCTCAACGCACCTTTCTTGGACTGACTGCTTTTCGCCTTGTTGTGAAATTTTCGTTTTTCACTTGCCCCCGCGCCTTTCGATGTGCCACCAGATGCCTGTCTTGGAGCTTTTCCAAAAAGTTCTGTCATTGCGACCGCTGCAATCATGGTCATACGATCTTCTGACTTGCTGTGCGCTGACAGTTTTTCAGATGCACTCACATCCTTGTCCAGTGGAACAGATTCTTTAGAACCAACCCGGGTTTCCTTGGGAATAATTGCTTCAACCAATGCTATTCTTCTGGGCGCTTCCGCTTGGGGAGAATGGTTCTTACAGTTTAAGCATCCACAATGCGAGCCACAGTTCATTTGGTTTTGAAAGCATTCACAATACTATGATAAAAGAAAATTTGAGGGACAATAGAATTTAATGAAGACTAAGAGTCATTGATTTTACCTTCTTCAGACAGAACGATCTTCTGCATTTGCAACCAAGCTTGTTGAAGCGTTGAGGGGTTGAAAAAGTTTGTTGAATTGACTTTGAGGTGCAAGCTACGCGTGCCGAGTGCCAATTTGTAGGCTGCTTGACGATGCCATTTCCAAAGAAATGAGGCACGGGTACACCACAAAATTTGCTGTCAAAGGCGTTAGGATTGCGATCCAGGATTGCGTTCTTCGCTACTTCAATATGTTCAGCGTGCTGCATGGTATTGTGACAAGATTGGCACCTACATTTGTTTCCACAAGTTGTAGAATTTCCGAAGCACTGGCAATATAGCTTTAGGCATCTAAAATTTGAAAGATACTGTGAACAACGATACAGTATCATCTGAAATCACTACACTTCAATCACATACCGGCTCTTCTTGCACGTGCAATTAGTCGCTCGGATTCCCTCTGAGCCATCCGAAATTGAAGAATCTTTCGGCGGGGACGATCGGGCATCATGCGGCCCTTGTACATAATCTTGATGTTGGGGTTCAGGGAAGGCATATAGCTGATTGGGGTACCCGTTTGGATCATAGCCCCCCCTGGGATGGTGACTTAAAAGAAAATGTCTTCTTGCAGCAGCATGATCATGCCCAACATGAGCACGAGGCGGAACAGCGGTGGCTCGCTGACGGGGTTGGTGCACTAACATTACCTGTAATACTCTGATATCCATCGATCTCCGTCGATCTGTGGATAGTGTTTATATTGCACTCTTGTGTGGGTTTCTACTCCACTCCATTGTTTATCATCTTGATTGTGGCACGAAGTTTCTTCAGTTTGTAAGAATTTTCTAGTATTTTTTTAAATTTTTAAAAAAATAAATATAATATATAAAAAAATAATAACGCAACTAACGGGTCGGCACGTCACCAAATATCCTTGGTACACGTGTACCTGGTACGTGGACCATGCATAGTGCTGTACCTGAGGTAGTATTAATAAATAGCTACATGCATGAATACCGGTGTGGAGGGAAAGCGGAAGAATTTAGCATTTGAAACTACCGCTGGTAACATACATTTCAAAGACTGCAGAAGTTTCCTCAGTTTGAAGTTCAGTTTCAAAACATGCATACTTCAAACGAAACGAGCAACTTCAAACTGAGAACAGTTAAAGATGACAGCTTTGTTTGATGAAATCTGATGTCCATCCTTCTCCCGTCTCGTTTTGTGTGACGTTCATTTTTATGACTATTCAGTCGGCTCTTACATTATGCAGGTGCAATTTTTAGTGGGTTTTCAGCCAATGAGAGTTAGTCAAATCACTAAAAATCAACCCATTTTTAGTGGTCTGAACCAATCACAGCGGGCTATTCACTAAAAATAGACAATCTCCACTAAGTTAGTACTCGTCATTACTTGCAAATGATGATTATAGGGGGATAGTACCTGGTACCTGGTACCGTAGGCCCAGGCTAGATACGGCCCTGCCACTCTGCCATTGTATTATAAAGCACTGTCGCACCTTGTTTTAATGACTCACCTTACCACTGGATTACGAGCTAGCGATACAGTTACCCTATGATCACTTCTAGCTGCTCTGAAGAACGGGTGTGGCAGCCACCAAACCGAATTGACAAGCGCTACAGCATGAGGTGACGGATACGCCCATCTGTAGAACCTTCGTTTTCAATCTTCTATTTATATTATAGATTAATTTCTATCATTTCAGTGTCACTTATGGTAGAGCATGCCCCTGTAAGAAACTGATAACAACTGCCATAGTTGCTAGTAGTAGGTGTCACTTTACCTTTGGAATCTAATCATTGTCTCAATTCCGTGCACCAAGGCCTTGTTGATTGTTTTCTCGTCAGAATAAACCCATCCCCTGTGACCATACGGTAGTAAACTGTCGTAGCGCGGCCTTATGGTGGAAACTTGGCCATCAAGGAACCCAGCAAGAGTTTGCCTCTGTTTTCGCCTTTGCATCTTACTCAAAAAACGGTTGATTATTGCATTTCTTCAATCATGTAATACACATGTAGTCTCTTTGGCGGCGAGCTTGAGCCTGGATTTGGTCCTTCCTCACCTTGCTTGATTCCCAAAATATTGAGTCCATTGACGACGCAAAATCTGACTACCATCATCAATGACGTCAACTTCTACGCTGCATATCTTGAAATGTTCGTGACCTCAAATTCAGAGTGCGATAAATCTCCGATTTCTGATTGGATCTGCGATATGAAGGCACAGATGATGTTATTAGAGGTGATCGAACGTCATTTCAAAAGTTTCAGAGGCATCGGTCAACATACATCAAACAATCATTGTTACCTTGTTCAAAATCCGTCAAAATCCTGGGATCATAGAGCATATATTCTTGCGACGGTATGCATGAGGCCAGTGCTGTGTTGTAAAGACACTTTATTGCAATCCTGTTGCTTTCTCCTCTTTTCTTTTCTTTCCTCTTCGTTTTCTTTTCTTTCCTTTTTCTTCCTCTTCCCCCTTATTTTTCCCCGGGGGATTTAGTATAAATAGTTGCACCAGCATAGTATAAAAGCCATTCAGTCTGAAATCAGTAGTCTGAAAAGCTTGAAATCAGTTTCTGATTTGTAATCTTAGTCTGTACTAATAGGATGACATCAACGGAGGAATCCGACAACCCAACCGGACCTGCGAGCTTATCACCGTCGTGTAGCAAATGCGTAAATGTATTGCAGCAGTTAGTTTCAGGTTTGACGAATGGCGATAATGACGAATCACCACCACTGACTTTGTTAAAGGCAATTGGTGGAGGGGACCCGAAGCAGCTCCGAGTAGAGAAATCCCGAGATGGTGTTGTATTGTATCTCCCTGTGGAAACAACTCAGCCGCATTTGTTGAGAAAATGGACTAAATTCCAAGGTGTTAATATGGATGTTGATCCCCCTCGAGCAATCGCTACATCCGCATCAGATTCATCAACCGAGTCAACTCCAACCAACCCGTTGGCAATTGAGCTGAAATGCAGAAAATGCTCGACTGTCGGGCCCGAAGTACGTAGCATGTTGATTGCAATAATTTTTGCTTTGTTTCTCAAGTTCATCTCGGTGTTTTTCACTTCCAGGGCGGGGCACGGGCATTTTTGCTAGGACCCACGCCGCTGTCAGTTGTCATCTGTCACAACCGAGTCCGTTCAGATCCAGAAGAGCTATCAGAAATTCTAACCCACGAGCTGATTCATCTATATGATGTTCAGAAGTTGAAATTGGATCTCCAACAGTGTGAAAACCTTGCCTATTCGGAGATCCGAGCGGCGAAAGCCGCTGAATGTAGAAATGCTTTTAGTCAACTACAGTCCTTTTGCGTAAAGCAGAAAGCAATTTGTGCTACAAACAACTTGTTTCCAAAGCAAGGCAGAAAATGCGTGAACAAGGTGTTCGCAAACGCCTTTTCTGACCAACAGCCCTTCAATGACAATTAACACTTGCAGAGCATTTGTTGAACCAGTACCAACAAGCAAATATACCAAGAGTCGTAGTGTAGGTTCAGTGAAGATGGTTCTGCGTATTATTCAAATTGTGTGTTATATATTTACAAGGCCCACTGTACAGGTTTTCTTGGGATCCTGCTCTTCTTGTGCTACTTCGGGCAGCTGACAATCCTCTGAAGACTATATGCTACGACTGGATGCAAAATAAGAGGTACAGCCTCCCGTCCCCTGGATTTCGAAGAACTCCTCTAAGTTCCGAGGAATATCGTGATTGAAAATTGCCACTGCCAGTTTGGGGATTTTCTTCAAAGAGTCAGATGCGCTTCAATGACAATTCGGTTGATATTCATAGTAATCGAAGGTGATAGGACAACTGCAGAGAAGCAGCTTTTGACGAGGTAGGCACATGTACAGTATAAACTATCACGTCCGTTTATAATAGTTTTGTGTTGTTGTTTTTAAGTTTCAAAAAGAAGGATGGTACGGTACGAGTACCATCCAAAACATGTACCTCAAAGGTTGATTTGCACGATTGCTACGGGCATTATAAAGGCCTCCACAAGTCACGAAACAAGTTTTGAAAGCGGTCTACCGGTACAGTAGAAGGTAGGCTGCAACATCTCTTATTTCACACGAGTACCAGGTACTGTATTTCCGGTTGCACACCTCTGCACTTGATTGAAGTCTTCCGAGGCGACCCATAGTCACAATCTTAACCACGTTTTCAATTGGAAACCAATACAAACATGAGATTCCAGCGGCCACTTTCTTTGCCGGCACTCGTGTTGTCATTTTTTTCGGTTGTCACATCTTGGAGTGGTGTTGTTGTTGTTGGGGCTGAGAAGGTGAGGGATTGGAGTAATGAAGAGCTCGAAGATCATCCTGATCCTAATGACGAGAACTATGCTGGAATGGTCTACGTTGGAAAACACGACACAAGCACGGGGAGGCGCGTTGGTTTTGACGAAGGTAATGGTGTCAGTTTCATTTTTGGGACTGCATTTGATGAGACACACAGGAAAATAGAAGAAAAAGACCTGCTGGAACATCCACTAAAACCCGCTCATGATATTCCTGAAGTTGACCGAGAAAAAACATTGAAAGACCGGCGACACAAGCCTATGGACAAGACAGGACCAAAACCGTTTGGTCATGTTGAAATACATGAACTTGATGGAGGCGTCATGCCTCCAAGAGTGGTACACGTCGAGCCTTTCTTCATGGATGAAAGTCCTATATCGAACAAAGAGTTTGGGAAATTTGTGAGAGCCCAGAATTACGAAACAGAGGCAGAAAGATATGGATGGTCGTTTTGCCTTGTCTCATTTTTAAACCCATCCACCACTGAGATAGAAGAAGGCGACCCAGAAGCACCACACTGGGTGATTGTGCCTGGGGCATACTGGAGACGCCCTGAAGGCCCTCAGTCTTCTTACAAGCATCGGGAAGACCACCCAGTAGTCCACGTGAGCCACAGAGATGCGGCAGACTTCTGCAAATGGAAAGGAAAACGATTACCAGGTGAGTGGGAATGGGAGGCAGCAGCTCGTGCTGGCCACTACGGGCCCTCCAACCGAACAGTGTATAGCTGGGGAGATGACGATTCGTGGGAAACTGCAGAGCAATATGCCAATTTATGGGGCGATTCTGAATTTCCAACAGAAAACAGTGCAAAAGATGGGTGGAGGGCAACCAGTCCAGTAAAGACATACCCACCAAACAAGCTAGGATTTTATGACATGACTGGCAACGTGTGGGAGTGGCAACGTGGTGGCAAACACAAATCCCGAATCGTGCGTGGCGGCAGCTTCGTGGACTCACTTACAGGAAACTATAATCATGCTGCAACATTGGGAGCCCGAGCCACCTTGCACGCCACAACGACCGCTGCGAACATTGGGTTCCGATGTGCGAAAGCCCCAAGAAGAAGAGCGGAGTATCACTATGTATACCACGATGAAGAAGCTCATGGCCAACTGGCAATCGAGGACGAGTTCAAGAGCATCCACCGTCTTCCACAGCGCGGTTGGGAGGATCGCTTCACCGATGACCAGGATGATGCTATAGGAGAAGATAGTCTTGCTGGAGCGCGACGGAAAAAGAAGAAAGTTGTTAAGACAAGAGAACGGTATTCAACAGAACTGTGACTTCGATGAAGACTTGTCACAGAACAGCTCATGCTATCAACTACATAATTAATCCATACGCTAGTGCAATATTTTTATCCGAGGAGTGACGACGCTGGTACCCACATTTGTTGTCAAATCGTTTCGTAGTACGTATTTTAATACTGGCTACTGTAGGTACTATTTTTCCTACTGTACACACTTTTTCTTCTAGAATCTAGTCCAAGTAGTCGAGGGAAATAACGCACTTGACCACAGCAGCCACCATCGTCAGCTGGCCCATAATTGCACATTTCAAAATACTGAGCAACAGGAAGCATGAGAGCTGCACTACGTAGTCTATGCGAGAAGGGAGCAGAAGCTTTGAAACCACAAAAGATTCTGAAGCCATCCGTTCAGATTGAAAGCCATATTGCTCAACCGGCAAAACAAATATGGCGAAGTCCAATTGTGTCAAAAAGAGTAGCGAACACAATTCGGAAGAAGGCCCTCCGAGACGGTACATACGGTAGCTTTGATACAGAAACAGGAGCCGGGTGGGAGCCGGGTTGGGATCTAGTTTTGAAAAGTAGTCAGTATAGAGTTTCCAGATATGGTGGAATTTTACCGCCAAAGAAAACATCACGTGAGAGGAGTCGAGAAGAGCGAGCTGGAGAGCTCGAAGAACATCTCGAAAGCAGAATGGAGAAGATTGAAGAATACTACACAGAGAAGGAAGAATCCCGAGTGCAAGACATGTCATTCGAAGCGCAGTATAAGCGATTACTTCGAAGTGGATCCAAATAGAGTAGGTCCTACATTGGTACAACTAATAGGTAAATATCAATTAGAAAAATTGAGATGCTGTTGTCCTTTCACTCGCTAGTCGGCTCGCTAATTGCACAATATTGCGCTACAGTGACGAAATAATGTTCATTGATTTTCTTACTATTCATTGCCTTTCAAAATAGTTACAGCACTCTGAAAACGTAGTCAATGCGTTAAGCAATAGCTGGAATAGATAATCACACAGATCAATCAGATTGGTTGTCTCCAGTTGTCACTGGAGGAGGCAAATGACATGGTTCAGCAGTCTTTTTTCCTTCAGAGGAGTAAATTTTCTCAATAGCCACATTGGCTTGCCACTCGTTCTGGTCGGTCGGAAAGTCGAAATTTTGTGGCCTCGACACAACAGAAGATTTAACAAAATTCTGCTTTTCCACTTCATTCTCTTTTCCTTTCGCGAGTGTCTGTTGTTGCTCCAGTTTTGCGATCTTCTTTGCCTCAGCTTTAATTTGTCTACTCTCTAAGGATCGTTTGCGGTTCAATCTACGTTCCTCTCGCGACAATGGCTTTTGCGTCAACTCTCCAATCTTGTGATACCTTCGTTTCGAAAAATTTACGCTATCTCGGAACTCTTTGCCATCCACGGCTCCTCGTGCATACGTACAATAGACAATGGGCCTGCACTTTGAGCTGGAATTCCCCAAGCCTCGATGACCCAATCTATAATCAAAAATAACAGGTGTGCCAGCTGTCGGTTTGGGTATTTCGACAAAGTCTTTGTCGAATCCCTCGTTTCCTAATATGTGACTCCCAAGGCAGAATTCAGTCGGTCCATTCCTGGGTGTGAGATCTACTAGCGGCACAAACACGTTGATTGCGTGGCAGGGCTTTTGAGTTTGGCTGTTCAGATGGACACCATCTTGATGATATACCTGAGTCTCTGCATCGGGCAAAGACAAGAAGCATCCTTTATGGATGAGAGATACCTCTTCTCCCAGAATACATTTGACAATTGGCATCCAAGGAGCCTTCTGCAGATCGATCAAGAATGAGAACGCCTCTGTATCGAATGCCGGTAATTCCATGTCGAATCTACCTCTTCCTCGCTCCCTAAGAACGTCAAACCCATCGGCAAGCTCTCTAGCTAGATCCCTTGCCTTTACAGTTCTCATAACATCTTCATAGTGGCTCATGCATGAAGTGTAGCAGAGCTCCATTTGCTCGTCGTTAAGGCACCAGCGCTGCTTCGCCTTGTCGGTTGGGTGTTTGCGGCGAGAGGAGCGTTGACGACCCCGGCTTTGTCGAGTACTTACTTGAACAATCGATGAGGTTTTGTTGTTTTGATCCCTGGCCTTTGCACTTTCCACCGGTCTTACACTACCTTCATTCGTTGCTGCTTCGTTTGGTCGAATCGAACCATCTGCGTTCTTTTTTTCGTTGCTGTCTTGCGGCGTCTGCAAAGTGGTTACAGAATTGACCTCACTGCTCCGATGCAATACTCGAAGCTGAGACGCAGTTACCGACTTTTCTCCATTTTTTTCTTCCACACCTTTTGGGACAGCAACTTGTGGTTCCGGTGTCATATTAGAAGGAGTAAGGGATTTCAATGTTGCCAAATACTGACTGGTGGCAGAGATATGCGGGACACGAATTTCCGTTGCACAATTTTTGCTCGAAGAGTTACTTTTCTTGTGATTGCTGTTTTCTACATCACCTTCTCCTTGTTTGATATCCTCGACGCAGGACTCCCCCGAGCTTTCCGTTGACATTCCTTCACATGCAAGCGAAGAGGAAAGTCTTTCTTTCCAGTGCGTTTGCTCATTTTCAGAGAGTGTCTTCCATAGCTCTCGTAGCTCGGATTTGGCCTGTTTCAAGGTAAGTTTCGTTCCGACCAAACCATTTTGCTTCTCTTCGCGGTATTCAAGTTTTCTGGCCCCATAGGAGAGGGGGGCTGTTTTCATCGCTTTCTTAGAATTCCATCCATAAACTTGTTTGCTATCTATTTCTATCTCTTGCTGGCCCGACCCATGGTTATTTCCAGCTGAATTTCTTTTCTTTTCTCTCTTGCTTTTTTTGCCAGCCGTTTCTTTTCTCGCCTCATCTTCTGCTTGTTCTTCTTCCAGGACCACCTGGCGATCTTCTTGCCATGTCAACTCTTGATTTACAACCCATAGTCCATCCCTTTCAAATCTTAGCTTGCCAATCTTCAAGGCCATGGGTGCCGAGGGTATTGTTGGTTGGAGCAACTTCCCCGTTGCGCCGATGCCCAAAATGTGTTTGTCGATCAATATTTCTTTTTTGGCAAGCTCTGTCGCATGATCCCAGGCCATCTTGCGAGATGTAAAATTTTTACGACATGGAGAGAGCCATTTTGTGCTAACAACTGGCACAGGATACAAATGCTTCAAGTCCCAGGCAACCGAGCTTAAAGTTGATACTTCTCTCGATTGTAAGTTGACAATACTTTGATCGTCATCATTCTCGAAGTATTCATCCAATTGCTGGCTTTTTCTTCCCGGCCATCGCGGGGGATCTGGAATCTTTTCCATCACATGTGGTAAGACAGCTAATTCCATCTTGCCTTTCCACGCTCGAAAAAGGGTGTTGCTATTTTCCTCACTCATACAGCAAGTCACCTCCCAAGACCGACCACCGAAACTTGGAAGTAGAGCTTGTTCACGACTTGCAATAGCTTGTGCTGCATCAGCATATAGTTCATGACGAAGCTGGGACGAGCTCAATATCCACAGCCTTTTCTTCCCATTCGAATGGTACGTTGATTTAGATTTCAAATCAGCCAACGTTGCCCTTTCGATGTAGACATTTTGCTCAGTAAAAGGGCATTTGAAAATAGTTGGTTTGCTCTTCTTTTTGGGCTGTGATCCTGCCCGTCCTGCTCGTGTCCTGTTGTCCTTAGTTGTGCTCCGCGCCATGCTGAAATACTTTACGTAAATGACAAAGGTAAATGACAAGGACAACTTTGATTATTGTTGAAATCCAAACTGGAACCCGGATGGTGAACCACATCGGCACATACAAAATTCGCGTTTGCGATTGCTCATCCTTCTCAATCGCTTTGGATTTCGCAGACTCCAATTGGGCCTAAAAGAGTTTCAATGATGTTTTTGGGCTGACAGTTGTTACTAGCTGTTGGCCCCCAATGATTAAAATATGAGATAAATTCGGCGTCAGACAGGTGCCACAGTCGGCTAGCATCGTCAGCCATTCGATTGTTCGTTCCAGATAAGTGCCCAATACGATGGTGTGCTCTTTGTTCCCGCTGTAATCCTGCCGCTAACCGTAATATTCTTGCTCTTGCCTTTCGAGAGGTGGACGATCCTTTTGTGCGCCATGACACTGCTGGTGTGTTATCACAGCCAGTATAAGTGG